GCTCATTGTTTTCTGAAGCCTAGACACTTCTTTGCATTATTCTTTTTTCTGACTTCTTAAGGATAATTCAGTAAGCGCTTTCATTATATCCACAAAGCAAAGCTTAACTGACAAAAGGGAAGTGTACCTTCCGGCCCAACAAGTTAGATTCAATCTTTTAAGTATAATCTGAGACTCACCAGTAAACTGTGATAACAGGTCCCACCTTTTTACACTATTGCTAAAAAATGCATAAATACTTGTTTCAAAAAATGTTGAAACCTTGTGGCAACTTTTCACAGCGTCATTTATAACTAGATTTAAGTTATGAGCTGCACAATGTACGTATATAGCTTTAGGTTCATCTTATTTAAGAAGAGACTGAACGCCATTGCAAGCCCCACACATAACATTTGCTACATCGTAAGCTTGTCCTCTACATTTATTTAATGTTATATTATTGTTTTCAAGCATATTTAATGTTTCTTTATATAATCCAAGAGCTGTGTGGTTGTGTATTTCCGTAAAACCCAAAACAATTTCCCTAATTTCGATTGTTGGTTCCTCTTTTTCATTTTTTATTATTTCTACATATCTAAATACTTGACTTAGTTGGTCTTTTTTTGCTATGTCTTGCGTGTTATCCATGATAATTGTATAAAAAGGAACAGTGTTATTATAGTTGATTAATGTTGTCTTTAATAATTTTATTCTGGATTTGATGGGTTAAATATTTAATAGTTCCATGGGGCATGTTCAAAACATGTTTCATAACAGTGTCATATTTTGATAAAAGATGTACTTGTGTTAAAAAAATACCATAATATTCATCCTCAAATGACAGAAAGCTAAACAATTTTTATAGAGAGAACTAATGTTATATTAATGTATATAATGCTATGTATAAGTCGCTTTAACACTTGTACCCAAAATTTTGATTCATATCAAATTTTCGCTTCTAAGCTTTAATCTATTGTTTCATTTTGCTTCCACTTAACATATATACAACATGATTGCATATGATGCTGACTTTTTTCATGTCCTTTTAATTTTTTTTGCCAGTCTCTAATTCCCTGTGTTTGCCAATTATCATGGAGTTTCAACCAACAAGGTTCGCAATATACCGCATCTAGTTTAGGAGAATAACATAGCCACATCCTCTCAACCGTACCATACTTTGTTGAAGTTTTATAAAACTCTTCTGAAAACTTACGATTTTTTTGTGGATCTCATTTAAAAGGTTCTTGTAGTCAACAGGAACCTGATAAAATAATAATTTTTTTTATATCCCCTGTTAATATTTTTTTCTGAAAATATACAACACTATCAAAATAATCTTTCTCAAACTTATTATTTATATCTTCTTCATCTAAGTTATTTTCATCTAAAGTATTTTTTATCTAAGGTATTTTTACTTAAATCTTCATTAAAATGATATAATATTTTATGCTCTTTGGAGTCATCTTGAATATGATCTTCGATGTCGTTGCTTTTATTGTTTTCTAACTTTTGTGTCATTTTCACCTTTTGTTGTACTTTGATCATCCGATTTCTTTCCAATTGGTTTAAGAAAACTTGTTAATTTAGGAATTTTAGCAACACATTCTTTTTGTCGTTTTAGCTTCTTTTTTTTCGCTGCACCACTGGTTTTGCTCAATGTCTTGTCCATGTTTTTGATTTTAAAATGTTTAGAAAATAATAACATGCAATAGAACAGAATATCTGGGTTTACTTTTTAAAACTTTGGAGTGGCTTCCAGAATGGCGGACGCTTTTTTTGTTAAAGGAAAGATTAAAAAAAAAAGCGATTTCAAAAGTTTTTAAAGCTAAAAAAGAAAAAATCATAGATAAATTTAAATATCATATAAAGAACATAGAAAAAAAAAATAAGTAAGAACAAATTGAAAAGACTTAAAAATAAATCGAAAAGCAATAAATAAACAACAAAAAAAATCTAAGAAAGTTAACGTAACCGAAAAAAAAAATCACTGAATCAAATCAAAATTTGAATAAAAAAGAACTGGTGAAAATGGGTTTTAATACATAAGTTTTAAAAGTATTATATTAATAATTACATGTTCATTCATTTGTTTTCTAATGTATCCATCATTTTGGGCATACATATAGATTTTTTTTATTGTTTGTTTATTTTAGTTTTTATATCTATATACTTTTGTGATACTGTTTTTGATCAGTTTGTTGTTGTTCTATATTTTATTTCTTTCAATTTTTGGTCAGACATTACTTTAATACAGGATTAATATATTTATAATTGGTAATAATTTTTAAACACTAGAGTTCCTTCGAAAATATGGGCCCCTACAGATCTGGGCCCCCCTGCATTGGGGTTTTTGCGGTATGGTAGTTCCGCCACTGAACAGCAGTGTATGTTTTTTTAACACCCCTCTATCTTTTTTTAATTAATGGTGATATTGCACTATGCAATTCATGAAACACATTGAGAGACATAAGGCCAGTATAAAAGTTGTAATATCTATCATTTTTAATAAATATTTGTATAGAAGTAAATTGCAATAACATGATTTTTTTACATGTTTATATACAATTTTGTCTGGTTTCATACTCATGTGGTTGTGGTTAACTTTTCATATAATTTTTTTATTTTATTTTATGCTGAAGTTCTTTTTTAATTATTTACATTCACAATAAAATAAGTCATATAGTAAATATTTTAAACAAAACTAAATGATCATTTCTCCTTAAGTAAGCTTATTTGTGTTTTTTGTGGTTATAAGAACCCAAAATGTGTTGAACTAGCAACTAGAAATTCTTTAAGCCAGATTTAACTGTAAGCTAACACTGGGATGGAAAAGTCTCATAATTAAACATCACTTTGTCATGTTCTTAAATTAAACTGCCATTGTGAGTATTTACTGAGCAATATTCTGAATACGTTCATAATATTATGCAAAAAACTTAAGAGCTATTTAAGATTATATAATATTAAGCTATATAAGATTAAATTATGTTACTTCTCAGAAAAGCAATATTGGAACACTTTAAAACTTGCAATTAAATTTCGATTTTACTCACTCTTGCATATCTTTAGTTTGTGATTTAATAAACAATTTTTAAATATCTTGTACATTATATCACATTACAGAATATTATATATTATACCATTTTAGATTATACTACATTATACATACATTTCTACAGATGTACATTATACATATATCTACATACCTACAGATGTACATTATACATATACTTAGGTTGTTAGGAAAGTTGGTAGAACTCCCCTATAAAAAAAAATAAAGTTTTTTTTAATTTAATATTATTAAAGGTTCAAAATTATATCCATCATTATCTATACAAAAATGCATCCTTTCAACTTATTTGTAAAACATTTTTTTATAGTCTTCTTTGGGTATACTTTTAAGTAGCCTTTCAGCTGAAACCTATCGCATCTTACTATAATTCTTGGACTTTCACCTTTACTGACCCAACTAGCGTTAGCTGAATTGTATCCAACTTGTCTCAAATAAAACCATGACTCATCCCCTGTAACAATATCACATAGCCTCCATAGGCCGTTTCTAAAAAGGGCTAAATTTTCCTTACATGCCTCAACTCTATTCTTTTGATTTTGATCGCTTAACATTTGGGGTATCCAACATGATGTTAGTTTTTGGTGCGTTCTGAATGATTTTGTTGATTGTAAAACGATTAATCCATGTCAGGGCTTTAATCATATAATGCGTGGCATGCAGATTTTCTTCAATAATGGCTTGCACATGTTCAATATTCTTAACTGTATACGTGGTTTGAGGGTGCCCTGAGCGAGGATCATCTTCAAGACTCTCTCTACCATCTTTAAATAAAGTAGCCCACTTGGCAACTGTACTATATTTTGGAGCTTGGTCACCATAAACTAAAACCAATTTATTGATTATGGCTTGTGTTGAAACTCCAAGTAGAGCACAGATTTTAATATATGTTTGATATTTAAGTTTTTCTATTTTTAAATTTTTTCTTTCAAATTTATATAACAAAATTTAAATAACTTTTTAAATAAACATTCAAAACATTTCAACAATTACTTAAAATGTTCATAATTAAACATAGTTTAAGATGATATATAAATATTTAATTATTTCCTGTCTTATTGTAACTTTATAGATGAAGTTCTACGAACTTCTCTAACAACCTAAGTATCTACATATCAACAGAAGTATACTACATTATACATATATCTATATATCTGCAGATTATATATTATACATACATCTACATACCTACAGATGTATATTATACATATATCTACATATCTATAGATGTATATATACAGATATTATATTATACTATATTATAGATCGTATTATATTGTAATTTACAATATGTTAATTTGCAGATTATGTTATACCTTATATAGCTGATTGCATTTTATCATACATAATACTATTTTTTGCAGTTTAAAAGGTCATATCTTTGAATGCCAAAATATATTTTATTGAAACTTGAAATCTCTCAATGAACTTTGATCTTGTTTATTATGATATATAAAACTTAAATTAAAAAAGGTGGGTGAAAAAGGAGGAATAAAATCTTATTCCATCCTTTTTAATCATTGGGATGTAAACAAAATAATTTGTTCTTTTCATAATTTTATCTGTAAGTTAGTTCTAAACATTTATCCATTAAAAATTTGAAGCAATCAACTTTTCAACCTAAATGACCTAAGTTTACTGAATAAGTATTATCAGTATTTTACAATAATTTAATTTTAAGGGAAAAAAATGCTTAAAACTAATTCAAACCTCTAATACAGAGCAGTTTAGGAAACATTTTTGTTGAATTTTTTTTACTTTGAATTAAATTTTCATTTCATTCAAAAAGAAAAAAAAAAAAATTAAGTATTAATAAAAATTAGGTAGATTTCCTGGTAAGACTAGTAATTAAATATTTTGTTGACGGATAAAAAAAAAACTATCTTCAAAACAAAACAAGGAAAAAAAAAAAAAAAACTCTACACGTATAACAATCCTAATAATGACACACCTTGTCAGCAAAACACATTATACCATAATCAGTTTTTCCTCTCATTGCACGTCCAACACACTACGGAATTTATAATAAAAAATAATTAACACCATTTAAAATAAAATAAACCTAATAAGTCAAAGTAAAAAGAAAAAACCTGAGCAGCATGCCTCATTGCATCAAATGTTAAGAAATCATTTTCCCTGATGTTAAACTGATCTCTAAGAAACTCCAAGCGAGCCTATATATGTGTATATATATTCATATTTATATATATATTCATATTTATATATATATTCATATTTATATATATATATATATATATATATATATATATATATATATATATATATATATATATATATATATATATATATATATATATGTAACTATTATTATTGAGTTGTGTTAAGTTAAAATAAAAACTGTTATAAAAATACAAAATTGCATTGCAACGAGATCAAATGTCAGTTTTCACGCCAAACGAGAATTTATTTAACCGTTGTTGAAATTCGATAGTAAAAACTTTTTTTTGTGCCTACATGCTGAAACCAATTCACTTTTTTTATTTAACAAAGGTTTATTATTGTATGTTGAAATAAAATATTTCTCATTTATGCAAAGGTTACACCTTTTTATGGGTTATAGAAACATTTTCTTGAACTTAATCGACTTACATTTCCAAGCACACCACAAGCTACACAAGATTTTTTACAGAAACACCGTCAAAATAAACTACAGCTGCATGCCAAATATTAATACTATTATTAAGTCCCACAACCAACACATTTTGCGCAACCAAAACATCAAAAATGTTAGAAAATGCAACTGTATAAACAGAGCTAAGTGTCCTTTAGAAAATCAATGTCTAACTAAAAATATTGTTTACAAAGCTACTATAACACCAGCGAACATTAGCCACGAGAAGAAATCTTATTGGTGTTAGCAAAAATTGCTTCAAGATCAGGTTTGCAAACCACATAAATCATTTAACTTGGTCAGGTATAAAAATGACACTGAACTCTCTAAAGAGATCTGGAAACTTAAGGAGGCAAGCATTAAGCCATTAATCAAGTAGAATATTGTTAAAAAATGTCAACCCTATAACCCATCTTCAAAAAGGTGTAACCTTTGCATAAATGAGAAATATTTTATTTCAACATACAATAAAGAACCTTTGTTAAATAAAAAAAGTGAATTGGTTTCAGCATGTAGGCACAAAAAAAAGTTTTTAATAATGAATTTCGACAACGGTGAAATTAAGTCTCGTTTGGCGCAAAAACTGACATTTGATCTCATTGCAATGCAATTTTTGTATTTTTATAACGGTTTTTATTTTAATGATTTTAAATATATGGCTGAATGATTGCCGAATGGCATGAAACTCAAAGTCCAATAAAAAGGTCATATTTTTTAATTTAAATATTTAATAATAATAATAATAATAATAATAATAATAATAATAATAATATATATATATATATATATATATATATATATACATATATATTAGGGGTTTGACTGAAAAGTTCATTTCATTTTTTTGGAAACGACATAGCAGCAAAAGATGAACTTTTTCTTGTATTAATTTAAAATAATAATTCTTTTTTCCAAATCAAAAAAAAACTCACCCACCAGTGCAGATGAAAATTTAGTCCCAGCTGTCTAAAAATGCAAAAAATTCAAGTTTTTGCAATTATAGTAGGGTCAGGGTCACTTAACAAACTTTCAAAAATACCATGAGAGTTATTTTTGTAGCTTGATTTATCTACTTTTAGATTATGTTTTGATTTTTGGTAAAAATGATGGGATGAGTTAATCTTAACCATTTGCAATCATGTGTATATTTGAGAGGTTGGAGAGGAGTCAAAAAAAAATTTTGTGAAAATTTTCTCTCATGATAAAAAAATTTACCATGCACCCTTAAAGAGGTGAAGAAAATTCTGACTAACATATCAGATGTTTACTATATTATAGTAAAATGCTTGTAAATTTACGATTCAGTCCAAATCTAAATTAACTTATTAATATAGCCGACCCTCGAAATTAGGAAAAATGAGGTCGGCAATAATTTGCCGACCTCAATCTTTTTGAGGTTGGCATCAGGTCAACAAAAACTATTTGATACAAAGGTCTGACCATAAAACATAGAAATGAGGTCTGCAATTTTATGCCGACCTCAAACACTTTCAGGTTGGCAGTTAGGTTGGCATTGCAGAATGCCAATCCTAATTCTGAGGGTTGAATATAGTAATATGTTTTTATAATAAAAATATCAATATATAAATGTTTTTAGTTACAATAGTTATATTAATGAATTCTTTTACTTTTTGATATGTTGACTTGGCCATAGAGACAAAATTGTTGACTTGTTGAAAAAGGAATAGAAAGAATTTAAACACAAAACCATCAAGGCAAAAATGTGGTTTTAAAAGAGAAAGATTTATTTAATGAAAAATAAAAAACTCCTTATCTTGAAAGATAAAATATAAGTTTAAAAAAGTAGAAAAGAAGATGTAAATTTTCTTAATGATCAGAAAGGATTGCATGTTCAAAAAATGTCACACGAAAAAAAATTTGAAAAATAGAAAGTGAAGAAAAAAATTTAAAGGTTATAAGAGTCTATTAGGAAACAAACAAAGGTTGGTTGTTAAAAAATTAGAGGAGACAATAAAATGTTTAGATACTTTCGATAATGGAGATAGTAAGATAGACAGTATCTCCAGCCTTTTAGAAAATTTAAAAAGTATATTGTTCCTATTTTTATTCATTATCTACCTAAAGTAATTACATAATTTAGCTCTTGAATTAGCTCAAACAGAAAAGTCTGCAAGTTATATAACAATTAAATATTTTTAGGATCTAAAAACTGATTTTTCTTTGATTTGTTAAAAATGATATTACTTTAGACAGAATGGCTGCAAACCAGTTCATTAAACTGGGACATATTGCAGCTATGTGCTACGTGTATATATTGCTATATATTATATACTTAATTCCAGATTATAAAAGATTAAAAAAAAAATTGTCACTGGTCTTTTTGCTCTACATTACAGTGCAGAACATGCTTCTAATTCTAGTCAAGACCTCATTACAACTTTTAAAAACAAAAGTAGATAAAGAAGTAAACTTAATGGTTGTAGCTTATCATTGTTTAAAATTTAAAACAGCTGATAAATAATCTTGGATAAAAACCATAAAATAGTCTTTCTTTAAATAAAACAAAAATGTACAGTTACAAAAATGTTTTATATTTTAAGAACATAAAAAAAAATTAAAAAGCCCCCCCCCCCAACCTTTCAAATATACACATGATTCCACAAAGTTTTATTGATCAGGTGATCAATAAAACTTTGTGGAATCGCTGCCCAGGCCTTTTGGATTTGTTCAAATAGTTGATCCTTATTAGGAACACCTTCACGATTAATTCTGCGGTTGACAATCTCCCACAGGTTCTGGATAGGGTTGAGATTCGGAAATTGAGGCAGCCAATCCATCACCGATAGGTGGTTATCTTGAAACCACTGCATGACTACTTTTGCAGTGTCAGTGTTTTAGATAATTATTTATTTATTGAAAACTTTATTTTCAGTTGATTGTTTACAATAGTTTTATAATCAACAAAAACTAATTAAAATCAACACACTAAACTGTATTAACTGATGATATCCAGGGATCCTTCTCAACGGATCACCACTAAAAGTGGTGAAACGCGGTCTTCCACCTTTGTTATCTGCTGCTAACTTCCACGTAGAACGATATTTGGAACATAGTCTTGATACGGTCTATTTTTTCACGCATTATTTATCACAAATACTTTTTTGTGACATTTCACTTACATAATTGCCAATAATTTTCTTTCTTAGTTCCAATCCAAGACTGTCAGGAGCCATTTTTGCACTTGAAGTCATAAAAATAATAAAAATAAATAATTACGCTTCTCAAGGCTTACCGCGTTACATTTACTTTGTGATGATACAATAATGCTCTGTGGAACATGTCTTGGTTGGATGTGGACGGTATTGATGTAATGAAACACTTGTTTTATTTCACTTTTGTATTGATGTTCTTCGATAAAACACTTTGATAAAACTCACTTCGATAAACTGGTTGATAATACTGACTGATTGACTTCCATATACTGACTGAATTACATATCGATTTACATGTCTCTTATATAGTAAAATGAACCTGTGAGAACCTGTTCTGGAAAATTCTAGATGCTTCTTTTCAATACTTCTGGATGCGCCTGGATGCTTCTGAATGTTTCTGAATACTTCTGGATGTTTCTTTTAGAAGCTTCTGCATGCTTCTGGAAACTTCTATAAACTTCTGGATACTTCCTTTAATTATTAAAAAAACTTCCGTGATGTTGACACGGACCAGACTTTAGAAAATGAAACAAACCAAAAAAGTTGCACTTGTTTTGTCCATTGCAAAATGGCACTTGTCAACGAAATTCTGCCTGTGTGCTGTCACCTGTCAGCTGATTGCTCATGTCATGGCAGCTATGACTCCAGACTCCTGAACTGTTTGCTGTGGTAGTATAGTTCGTTTCATTTTTAAGAAGTAAAATTAGGAACACTTTTTAGCATTGTTCGATGTTGGTTGCAAATATTTTGTTCAATACTGTATATATATATATATATATATATATATATATATATATATATATATATATATATATATATATATATATATATATATATATATATATATATATACAGGCCTTGTTTTAAAGCGTTACGCCTAGAGCGATTTACGTACGCCTTAAGCGCTTTTTACGTACGCGTAGAGCTGTTTTGGTTAAGCTACTTTTTATCATTTTTTAACTTTTAAATTAGCGGTAACATAAAAGAAGTAATTAATTTTCAAAAAAACCACATTAACTTTTAAATAACGATATGTAAAGGTATTTATTAAAAAAAAGAATTTACTTTAAAATTAATTGTTGTAACTTTTCATCGCGATATATCTTTCCTTTTTATAGCAATTAATTTGACGCTAAACTTTTATATTTAGCAACATGAAAAATTGTTTGTCAATCCTTAACTACAAATTTTTTGGAATGTTTTTAATAAAAAGTAGTAAAGTTTTTAGTAAAAAACTTTTAAAAAATCTATATTCCATATTTATAAATACAGAATATAAAAGTTTTTTGTAATATAGATTTTTTATGAATTTTTTACTGAATTTATAATAAAAAACATTTGCAAAAAAATTTGTAATTAAGAATTGACATTTTTTTTAATAAAATCTCAAAAAATGTCTTAATATTTTTGTTATCATGATAACAAAAATATCAAGACATTTTTTCGAGATGTTAAAAAAAATGTCTTTACTTTTCTTATTAGTTTAATAGTATATAGCTTTTCTTATTAGTTTATTAGTATATAGTTTAAGTTATGCGGGGGGAGGGGGTCGGCACAGAAAAAAAAATTACCTGTTACTCGCAATATTTGAATGAAGACAATTTGTTAAAATTCTTCTGCGTGCGATTCAATAAGTTTTTTTTGTCATAAATCAAGTTATAATATAAGGTAAAGAAATCATGAGTAGACTACAACATCCGCTGATGACACTAATATTACGTTGAATATATTTATATAACGGAGGTTTTATTATGCACGCGCACATTACAGGTTCCGTTAAATAAATACTAAGGCACGTTTTAGTTTAATGACAGTCTCCATTTTTTACTAATGAATATGTATTTTTCTTTATAAAACAAAACAAACTAGTATATAAAAACCTTGTATATTTCTATTATCTCTAAATTATTTAAAGTTCGAATATGGATTGTATTTTGAAGGACAAAAGATTTACTTTAAAAACTTTTAAATCTTGGGACTTTGCCGATGCGATGATCACAGAAAAAGAGAAGACTTACGTTATTAAAATCAAATGTAAGTTATGTGATCTTCATCAAAATAAAATTATATCCAAAAACAATAGTGCCGTAAGGGCAACTGCCCAACGGTTTATAAATAATACAAGTCATGTTAAAATATTTTAACATGTTACTATATTTTAATTAAGTTGATATATAATTAAAAATAAAAATATAGTTCAATAAATAAATTAAATTTATTCTTAACAAAGATTACCTCATATTTATTTTTTTTTTATTTTATTAAGTTAAATTGCTTACAAACGAAAAAAAAAAAGAGTTTTGTAATTATACGTAGAATGAAAATACTTTTGAGTTTGTTAATAAGTTAAGGAACTTAATTTTTAATAAACAAATTTTTACGAACGTTTATTATAAACAGATACGATTCAAATTATTAAATATACTTAAATTATTTCAGTTGAGTATTTTTATAAGTTTGCACGATTAAAGTTTGGCGTACAAGTATTTGTTTTTTTGTTTTAAGAATAATTAATAAAAGAGTTTGCATAATTAAGACTTTCATATTTAATTTAATTTTTTTTTAAATTTCCTAAAATTAAAAAAAAAAAAAAGATTTAATTGTTGAAAACGATTTTTCTCTATAGCTCTGTTTCTTTGTGATTTGTTTAAAAAGTTAAATATTTTTACAATAACATAAAAAGTTAATGAATTAAATTCCTAGCGAACGCGTTCTAAACTACGTATCAAAAATACGCTTCAAAGCAGACAAAACTTTTTTATATTTTTATAAAACGCAAGTTGAAACGCTTTTAAAAATTTTAAAAATATTTAAAAACTTAAATTTTTCTTTGCTAGTCAAAACAAAATCGTTGTTTAAATAATTAACATGGGTTTGTGTTTATCAATGTTAATATTTTTTGTTTACTCTAGAAATTTTTTTAAAAATAAAAAAAATCATTATTATTTTTTATTCAATAACGATTAAAAACAATTATTCAAAAACAAATTTCAGAAATAATTAATATATATATATATATATATTTTTTTTACTAAATAATATTGAACTAAAATTAATAATAAAATAACAATTGAAAACATTACAAAATTTTCATAATAAATTTATATTTAAAACGTTTATAGTTTATATTTGAGTTAATTGTTAAATTGAATTAGTTTGCGGTTATTTATTTATTGCGGTAGTTAAAACACTTAACGCCTATAAAAAAAAATAAAGATAATTTTATGACGTCAAAATCGCGTTAAGCTAATGCATTAAGCACTTTTTTATTTAAAACAAGGCCTGTATATATATATATATATATATATATATATATATATATATATATATATATATATATATATATATATATATATAGACTTAGCTTACCTTCTGAATGTGTCTTGTTAAAATTTATTGATAGGCAATATCATTACTGAAACTCACTAGTTTCTATCTAGTTTATAGTTTATTAACTCATTGTGATTTTTAACCTTCATCATTTTTAATAATTTTGTTTTTTAAAATTATTTCTAGCCTTCAAACCAACCTCACAAATATTTATGGGTCCTCACATAAAGAAGTTAACATGAGATTTTTTTGTTGTTGAGAAATTGTAACAGAATATTTTTTATTGCAAAATTATTGTAGAATTATTATTTTGTTTATTCTATGGATATGTTAACACAGAAAACTGTTTAGCATTTTGGTAGATAGAGTTAATTAATTTGACATACCTAGCTCCTATGACTTGTTTTACAGGTTTTTGCTAAAATTGTTTTTTAGGATTGATCCATATTACTATTGAATGCCGGTAAGGTTTACAACTTTGAGAAATTTAAAGTTTAAAAAATTATTTCACAAATAGATTTTAAAATGTTTATAGGTTTTTTAATTTGTACTTTAGAATATAATTAGTGATTTTTTTTTTTTAGCTAATACTAATGTGAGAGTAAAATCGTAATATAGGGTCTATATTCCTTGCGTAAAAGCGAGGGATATAGACCATGACCAATTTACCATGACTTATTTACAGCTCACTTATTACTCGTACAATATAAATAACCACTGAAACACTATAAATAATAAAAACCTTTAGAATACGACTTTGTGTGTAAACATACGGAATTCCAAACATTATGACAGCCCTTCCATAATGATGATCTGTACAAAACATTTGATCATGATTAACTCAAAAAATCAATTAAGCTTAAAAACCCTTAATAATTTTTAAACTTACCAAAATCAATACCCTCTGATACTTTTCCTCTTGCAACAGATAGCAAAATTGCACCTCTTCCATTTTCACAAGCCTGAGATTGACATGGGAATATAAAACTAAGAAAGTATCGAATCTTTAAATTATTTGAAATCATTTTAAAAACTGTAAAACCTTTTGATAATTGTAGAGTGCTAGAGCTGTTTCTGGGCCATCTTGAGTTTCAATAAACAAAAGTTTATTCTTTTGAATATTGCTAATAATACCCTTAAAAAAAGATATTATGAAAAACAAAATTTTTTCAATAAATAATATAGCATGTTGAAAGCTAATAACAATAAAAAGTACTTGATCATGCCAAATTGAAACAACTGTTTCCTAAAAAAAAGGAAGAGAAAATAATTAATAAAAAAGAAAACTCAAAAAACCTAAAGAAAATAAAAAACATGGTGAAACAAATATTGAATAAAAAAATTTAAGAAATGATGGAGTACTAATAATCAATAAAAAATAATATACAAATTTAATAGTTAAGTTAATTTAATTTATTTTTCAAATTTTTTTTTTAAATTTACTACAAAAAAAATTATCTATGAAACTTTGAAATAAATACAGTGCATTATAAAAATCTGCTAAAAATAATAATAAAAAAAGCCAACTTAAATTAAACATGCATGCAATTTAAAATGTTTCAAAGTGCAACTAAACTATTTTTTAAATGCTATTGGTGCATTTTTAAGCACATTTTCCTTTAAAAAAAAATGCAACTTTTTAATGTTACAGATGCAATTTTGAATCACACTTTTTCCTCAATTCAAAATGAGTTTCAAAACTAAATTTTCTTTCAATAAAAATAAATTAAAATGCTTATGTATGATTTTTTTAAAACGCTTTTGAGCCACATTTTAAGTCACATTAATGGTGATTAATTAATAATGTTAAACCTTTGTCATTTGTGAAATAAATTTTTATTTAATTTTTGTCGAACAAAATTGAAGTAATGAACCTTTTTATATTTTAAATTTTTGCACTATTTTTTAATACTCAACTTTACTTTTTTTTATTATCAATAATTCATTTAAAATTAAACTGTTCTTATTCATTGTATTTTAGTAGTCATTAAAATTTTTTTTCTTCAGTTTTTTCACCTGAGAAAAAATACCCCAAACATTAAAAATACCGCACTACTAATTATCATAGCGGATGACTTAAGTAAGACATATATCATCTTGATATATTGGTACTTTGATATATATGTCAAATATATTCTTGATATATATATATATATATATATATATATATATATATATATATATATATATATATATATTGATACTTAAATATATATATCTTGATATATTGATACTTTGACATGTATATATATTTGAGTTGCCTACATGGCAACTGGAAAGAAACAAAAGAATCCATCCCTGAGACACACACATGCAAACAGATGTACACACATTAATATTATAACTATTTTTTCTTATTACAAAATAAATTTAAAACATAAAAAAAAATTCAAAATGGTGATACAGCTAATATCAAACTTACTATTATATAATTCTAAAGAACAAAAATAAAAAGAAAATTAACAAAGTTTCTCAAAGTAATTCGCTTTTGAAAAATGTTTAAATGTGATTTACCAATGCAAACACATTAAAAATAATTTTAAAAATTTGTTATTCAGTTCATATTTAATATTTTAACACTTTTAATGTTTTTAAAGTCTATATAAATGGTTTTTACTATAGTCTGGTTATTAACATGATAGTTTATTCAATTAAGGATGTCTACATCTGTGTCTATGCTTTAAAAATGCCATCAATGAACAGAAATAAAGTCTTAGTAAATAATTTGTATTGTATTCCACAATGGAATATGGTTGGAAAATGAACTTCATTACTTTACAAACAATGCATGAGATAAAAATAGATCTATTTTTGGGTTAAAATTAGCTTTCAAAAATCATTATATTTGCTGGACAAAGCTTTTACAACAATTATCAGATCTTTTCTATAATTAGCAGATTGAGAATTTTTATACTGGAAATCTCAAGGCTCTATTGTTTATTTGGTTGCTTGAGACACCTGAATGCACACAACAGAGAATTTGGTTGCTTGAGACACCTGAATGCACACAACAGAGAATTTGCATAGTTACAAAGTTTAGGAGACTTTATTAAAATGCCAGAATTATAATTTATAAAAAAATTCTTTGAACATAGCTGCTAATTTTTGCTGTTGAGATTCAGTTTCAAGATTCCTGAAAACAATGTATTTTATTTTTCTCAAAAACAACTGATATAATACAAGCAATAAATATATTATAAAAAATTTAAACATTAAAGATTTTTATTTTTAAAAAATTTTATTTTAAAATTTTCATAATTGATTTTTTTTTCTTATTAGAACACACTAACTTAAACACACTATTATTGGATGTTCACAATGTATCTTTTTTTTTAAATAATTTTTAGTTTTCATACATTAATTGTTTTATTTATATCCAACTATTAGCCTCACCATTTATATCCAACTATTAGTCCCACCAAAAACCCCCAGTAAGAAAACATTTAGAGGGTGTTCATGTGGTGACAATAAACAAATGCAATACCATTGCATTTGTCTATGTCACCACATGAACACCCTGAAATATAAAAAAATAAAACATATGAAACTAAAGAAATGTTTAGTATTGCAACCAAAACTAAAAATTGTAACTAAACTAAAAAAACCGTAACTAAAAATAGTCAACTAATTTTTTAGTTGACTAAAATTACCCGACTAATATTTTAGTCTAATATAAATTAGTCGACTAACTTTTTAATTAACTAAAATTAGTCGACCAATTTTTTAGTTAAATAAAATTACCAGACTAACTTTTTAGTTAAATTAGTTGACTAACTTTTTAGTTAACTAAAATCAGTTGACTAACTTTTTTAGTTAACTTATATTAGTCAACTAACTTTTTAGTTAACTTAAAATACCCAACTAACTTTTTAGTCTAACTAAAATTAGTTGACTAATTTTTTAGTCAACTAAAATTACCCGACTAATTTTTTAGTTAACTAAAATTAGTCGACTAACTTTTTAGTTAACTTAAAATACCTGACTAACTTTTTAGTTAACTAAATTTACCCGACTTACTTTTAGGTTAACTAAAATTAACCGACTAAGTTTTTAGTTAACTAAATTTACCCAACTTTGTTTTTAGCCCAACTAAAGAAATTTATAAATATATAAAATAAATAATTTGGGTTCATGATATCATTTCTATTAGAACTTTTGAATAAGTTTGCTATACATGATCATTTTACTGCATAATACCGCCAAAATAAAAACTAAACATGGTAAAACACAAATATCTTTAGAATTGAATAAGCTACCAAGGCCAACCCAAAAGGGCGAGGGGATGGGTGGTTGGTTTTGTGTGTAACATCCCATCAATAAACTTTTAGCTCATTTAGTACGCCAAAATTGACTATTTTAGATAAGTCGGCAAATGAAGATTTTCAGAACAGTCACTTGGTAAATTTAAAAAAACAAAGATTTTCCTTTTTCTAGTCAGCTAAAATTTTAATGGCACTCTCTACGTGATACCTACTTGTGCTGGCCCTGTAAACTATAGTATATTACAATTATAACTTTTGTTTATATGTCACTTTTTTGGATCCAAATTATAAAATTTTTTAATTCTTTGAAAAGTACGAGAAAAAAAATATTTAAAATGCGTTAAAGAATTTTTGTCGGAATTTCATTTAACAAAAAAAGTTTGTGATATAACTTTAGTTAAAAAGGTGACAATCAAAAAAATTTAAGTTTCCATTTGATGATGAAGATGATGATTCCGGAAATAATATTGTGACAAATTAATAAATTTAGATTTAAAAAAAGAAACTAGTAGTTAAATAAAATTGTCAGTTAATGAGCAAAATGTTTTTACTCTTTAGCATCAAAATCAACATGTGTTTCCGATATTTCCGAAAAAAAAAAAAAAAAAAAATCTTCTGCGAAAAGTTTTATTTAATTTTTTCATAATCTATTTTTCCTCTAATATACACTGTGACAAATATATTCAGGTACAATCCTGTGTTAACAATTTCCCGTTATTTTATCAATTTATTTATACATCAATAAAATATATTAAAAAAATATTTATTACAAGAAAAAACTTCAGTATTAAATTTAATGAGTTTAAACTAAATTAAAAAATTCCAAATTTTTGTACAAAAACATCAATATTTGAAAACATTCAGTTGTCATTCTGTTTTGCTTTGCATACAAGTGTTTAATGCGTCAGAAAAAAGGCGTTCACTAGGTGCACTGGTAGCAGGCGTACATAAAATGATTGTTGAAATACAATAAAATATCGGAAACACATGTTGATTTTGATGCTAAAGAGTAAAAAAATTTTGCTCATTAACTGACAATTTTATTTAACCACTAGTTTCTTTTTTTAAATCTAAATTTATTAATTTGTCACAATATTATTTCCGGAATCATCATCTTCATCATCAAATGGAAACTTAAATTTTTTTGATTTGATTGTCACCTTTTTAACTACAGTTATATCACAAACTTTTTTTGTCAAATGAAATTCCGACAAAAATTCTTTAACACATTTTAAATATTTTTTTTCTCGTACTTTTCAAAGAATTAAAATTTTTTATAATTTGGATCCAAAAAAGTGACATATAAACAAAAGTTATAATTGTAATATACTATAGTTTACAGGGCTGATTTAACATGGAGTATTTGTACTAAAGAGACAACAACAACATCATCATCAAACCTATCTGATTTGTTGAAAGTCTGATTTAACATGGAATATTGAGATTAAAATGTAAATTATTCCACAAATACATACACGAAAATAGAAATAAACATACCATGTATAAATAGCTGACAAAAAAACAAGCAATACCATCTGGTACTGATGCAGACATTTCGACCAACAAATTTCCATAGTTTCGAATGACAGCTAAAGAAAATAACTTTGAAATAAAAGAATAAAAAATAATAAAAAAGCAGATCAAATTAAATTAAAAAATGAAAAAAACATTTTTACATTTCTTATTTTAGTCAAATAAATAGATTTCTTAAACTAGTCATATAAAAACACCCATATTAGTCAAATAAATACACTTCCTATATACGGCAAATAAATGCATTTCCACGAGTCAAACAAACAACTAAAAAGTTACCCATATCATCTCTGGTTTGAAAACTTGAACTAATGGCAACTTGATCATTTCCTTTACTGCAAATCTATTTAAGTATGAAATAATTTACTATTTATTAATCTTATAATAATATTAATAATAATAATAATAATAATAATAATAATAATAGTAATAATAATAATGATAAGGTGCAGTAGAAAATATTACCAAAAAAACTAATCTAAATAAAAGTGCTTAATTGAGCACAAAGTAAATAGGTAATAAAGCAAATTCTTCTTTTGTCTAAAGGGGTAGCAACCCTTTAGCACCTTATTAGTAGACAATGAGCTTTAGCAGCATTTTGGTGAATAGTTATAATATTAACCCGGGCCAAAGTATTTGTCGATTTTAAAACAAACTAAGAAGACAAGAGTTAATCACAGTTTGTAGGAGTAAATTCCATTGGCTGACTACTTTATTAGGGAAGATATTAAGTCTAGTAGAAATGGCTCTCATGTTATTGTTGAAGTCAGAAACATTAAAGAACTCTTTGAAAAAATGCTGAGAGTGTCCTTGAGCTATTCAAACAGATTGATGGCCAATTTGTGGGTTAAGCCATTAAATCAGATTTAATCTTTAAAAGTGATTTAAAGATTAAATTACCATGAATCTTTCAATTAGTGAGGTGAGATTAGTAACTATTCCTTATATAACCCTCTTAGAAGCAGAACTGCTTTGTATACTATTATATACAAAACATATACTATTTATTTTATGTATTTCTTATTATTACATCTTATTATTACATCTTAATGAGAGAACCTCATAAGAAAAACCAGCCCAAATATCCAACAGTATTCCACACAAGTATGAATAATGAATAAAAGATTCATAGAAGTAAAGAATGGATTTAGGAGTGAGAAAATGGAGAGGACAATAAAGAAAAACAACCTTACCAGATGTTAACCTTTTAATGGATTGTATATTTGTTTTACATGATAGGTCAGTAGTGAAGGATGATTCAAGAAGAAATAAAGAAGAGGATTTAGCAAAAGTGTTGTCATTCATCAATATAAGAATATTAATATTATGTCAATAATTATTACAACTTTAATGCATAAAAAGAACATTTTTGTTATAATGGTTACCAGTTGAATGAAAGAATCATTATGTATTGATTTTCAGTTGTAGGATAAAATTGAAAACTGTTAAATAAAGATTATTGCCCAATCAGCCTTCTTACTAAAACGAATTTTAGTAAGAAGACTAATTTGACAATAATCAGAGAAGCCCAAGTAATCTCCCAAATTTTAGAGATTTAATTTGGGGATTTAGGGATTAAAAAGGCAGCAGAACATTATATGCAGATAATATTAGATTACACACTACCAGTGACAAGGTAATAATATAAAAGTGTTATAAAATGTCAAAATGGACAACAAATGAGCCCATTTGCAAAACACGCTAAGTCCGAGCAAACTGATTTTGAGAGATTGAAGGAACACTGACCCACACATGATTTGCGCTTAAAAAAAAAAAATTGTTAGTAAAAGTTACTTCAGTGTAGTGATACAAATAAAGTATGTGCATAGGAAAAAATGTGATTTAATAGAATCATGAAATAAACCTGATTAAATTATTGATTTAACTTATTTTTATAATGTGAGATGGATTTAGATTATTTTGAAAAGGTTAGTTGCCAAATAACTTTATATGTATTTATAAATAAATATAAGCTTCATTGAACTCATTCACGATTTGTTTTATTTTATTAAAAAGCTTTAAAATAATTTGAAAGGAAAAGCTTTGATTTACATGAATTATTGAAAAAAGTAATAGTATAAAATAATGGGAACAAACAAAACACTATTGTAAAAATTGTAGTTTTTTTATTAAAAATTTTGACAAAAGAAAATGCTGTACAACGAATAAGTTAAACATGATTACAAGCGGATTTTCTCCAAGACAATTGCATATAGTATCTTTCTCATCTTCTGGGTCTTTTTCCAACAAGAATTGTTAACTATACTTTTTAAAAAATCACAACAAATATCATGCTCCCAGTTCACTCCTGCATGCACATGCATTAGGCTTTTGATATCTTTTTTTTAGCCTCTGCTAATGGGATTCCTTTTTGAATCTGAGAGAGACAAGATAAACAACTATGACATCTTTTAGTTATAATCTGAGGACCATTCAGCAAAAATTTAAAATTAGTTTCCGCTTAAACTTTAATAATTTCAGCTGATTCTCTTGTAATATAAAAGCATTTATTTTCCTGAAATTTGATTGGCAATGGCTTTTTTAAGACTCTTTGACATACTGACTTGAAATCAAACACATTCCAGTCTATTCCAGCAATTTTTGTACTTTTATTCCAGCAATTTTTGAAGTCATTCTCATTCTGAGTATAAATAATGACATTATCTTTGTTTAAACATCCACTATTTTTATTTTCTACAACACAAAAGTTGTATATGTACAGTTGTCTACTGTAATAAGCTTGCTGATCTGGAACTTTAGGGATGATTTGGTTTTGCTGATGGTCAAAGCAAATCATTTTTAAACCATTTCGTTGTTCCATCTGAAAATCATAGAACAGCCAAATTAGTAATCAAACTGTTCTTTCTTTTTAAATCATTTTTTCACTTTACTTGGTGTCATGTTCTTTCGCAAAATGAACATGCATTTAGGAAAGCCTAACCCTAAATTAAAGTTTAGTATAAAAAATTTTTGGAAAAATTCATGTTACTGGTAAATTAGGTTGCTTCTATGTGTACATTTTCCAAACGTTTTTAATGCTTTTTACCTCTAATGACAGATACAGTTTTCTATATTTGTTTCTGCTGTAATGGCTCACCCTTCCAGAAAGACTCTTTATAAATTCTACCACGGCATTATGCTTCTGAATTTGTGTTTTTTTTTTATCACTACCTCTGTTTTCTTTTCTTGGATTTCCGTTTTTAAAGAAATGTTTAGCAATATTTTTAACACGAATTTTACCAATCTGTACGCATTTTAGAAATGTGTCTTTACAAACATGAACTATATGTCTGTTTTCTTTTTCTGAACTGTTATAAACTTTAATATAAATTTGTCTTGGTCACATTTTTTTTCAGCATTATAAAAATGAGCATTAAAAAGGTAGAGATCTATGTCTTTTATTTCAGAACATTTGAATGCTGTTTTATGTTGGCAATAATGTTTTGAAGGTGGTTTAGGTCTGTGCCTTAAAATAAAAAGTTAAATTGTATACACAGGTTATGAAAATGATTTATTAATTATAATATGTATTACATTGCACATACAAATTTAAAAAACGCAAGTGATATTTCAAGTACTCTTGGCTGCTTAATACAAAAGGTAGGGGTGGGGGTGGTTTAGGAGTAAAAGGGTGGAGTGGAGGGGGGAGAGATTTTACTCCAGATCTAATAGACAGTGTGTGTATGTGTGTGTGTGTGGGTAGAGGGGTGCATCTTAATAAAAGTGTGGGTCTGAATTTTTTACAGAACACAAATAAAACAATTTTAATTCTACTGTGGTTTGTGGTCTAATGAGCATTTTTTAACAGCTTTTTCATCATAATTTCAATAGAATTTAATATGCTAGTATAGGTTTTATAATATGGTAAGAAATAAAGAAAAATCTAATATTTGACAAATTGAAGTTCATTAGTTTTTTTAGAAGTCAACGATTTCATAAGCTTTTATAGCTATCAGTGACTGATAAAAATATTCTGATTTTTTTTAGTTTTGAGATGTTGTTTTGGTGGATGTGTACTTGATTCACAGATTAAGGGAAGGGCGACATATCTTAGTTAAATCATGGAGGTATAATAGATTTAGTTATAGTATAATAGTCTATTATACCTTCTTGTTTAAATTCAATTAAACAATGGCTAAAATAAATCATTGTTTTAATCACACGTGAATCAAGTACACTTCCGCCGTTAATTTTGTTAATAAACATTAAAAATTAATAAATGCTGGGGCCATAATAAGCTTAGATGGATAGGAAAAGTTTACAAAAATTAATCAGGCTTGGTCGGAAAGTGGGTGCGATCGCACTTGATAACTGACCACGGAAATAACTTTTAGTTGCGAAAAACTAGCCAGACTTTTTAGTCGTTTTAAGAATATTCAAGTTTATGTATGTTTCCTTGTTTGTCTGCAAAATAATAAGCTCATTTTATTGTAAATTTTAAAATATTTTGTTTTACGGACATACATGGAAACCAGGCTTTCCCAGGAAAGGTGTGCGGTCGCATACCTTGTTTGTCCACGCATAGAATAAATTTTTCTGACTAACTGACCATATTTTATTATTATGCGTTTCAAGAATTCGCGCCAAAACAAAGCTAAACAAAAATACCGCAAAAATGCAAGCAATCTTAAAGTAAATAAAAGAAATCTGTTTGTGCTTTCAAATTTAAAAATTAATGTATATTATTAAATAAAAGATTTACCTATATTTTATCTATTTTTTTTTTTTTTTAGGGCGGTAGTTATTTAAGCTATGAAAAATCAAATCAATAAAAAAAAATCAAATCAATAAGAAAAATCAAATCAATAAGAAAAATCAAATCAAAAAGAAAAAGATTATTGTTTAATGAAAATGAAAGGACCTTTTAATTTAAAATTTGTTTATGACTTTTATCAGTCACTAATACTTTAAAATTCACGATAGAACTTTAATTAATTTTTAAATGTTTTATAAATACATTTAAATGTTTAAATGTATTGATACGCGAAAACGATTGCTATTTATATGTAAAATATGTTTTTTTTCAATTTTCAAATAAAAGAAAATTTTATTGTCAAATGATTGGGTTGCTTATTTTGCAATCATTAATTGACATTGTGAACGAGTGTTAATATATAATAATGTCCCAAAGGAACTGTTTTCATAACAATGACAGAAGCAATGCAATTATTTTTTTAACTTCTTTCGTAATTACAAAATTATGCAATTGAATAATTTCAACGTAATAAAAGGCGAGCATTGACTCAGTATAATCAGTTTAGAATAAGTCGAGAGAGAATTATTTTCACATTAAAATTTTGTTATCTTTAAAATCTCAAATAATATATTTAATAATTAAAACAGCAATTTATTTTCTTGTCTAAGTATTGGGGAATAACGTCATCACCTTTGCATAAACCTTCATAAAAACTAAATTAAATGAAAAAATTTAATCAAATTTGTCTAGCGTAAATAATGAATCCGTTTTTTAATACATTGTCTGATAAAGTTAGTGAATAAATTACGTATCAAGTCTTTTTATTTTCGTGAAAACTTTATGATTTATTGTCGTCTATTCCTTGACTTGTATCAAATTTCGTAGCTAAAAATAGCAACCCTAAAAAAAGAAAACAAAAACAGTATAAAAATTTTGAAAAGAATGTTCAGGACTTTTTTTTTTTTTTTAATTTTTTTTTTATTATCAAAATATTTTTCTTACATCCAATTCCAATTTTATACTTTGTTTAGACTTCGTTTCCTTTTTTTAATATTATTTTTTATTCTCTGTGGATAAGTTCCGCTTTCCCACGAAATATTGCCGCGGTCACGTTTTCTGAAAAATTTATACTATGCGTGGACAAACAAGGTGTGCGACCACACGCCTTTCCTGGGAAAGCCTGATGGAAACATACATAAACTTGAATGTTCTCAAACATCTTTGTGCGGAAAAATAAAAAAAGAATTTTTTGCAAACACAAAAAACCCGCCAAATTTACGAAGAACTAATTCTATTGGTTCAAAAAATACTAACTGAATATTCTAGAGTATTCTATTGAAATATTTTAAATAATTGTATTATTTGAGTTTTATGTTTTCGTTGAGATTTGTAGCATAAATTGTTTTAAGAATATACTATCAAACGGACAATTATTTTAATACTATGGTTCATTCTCGAAGCCGCATCTACAAAGCTATAAATGTTTTAAACTAACATTATTTGTTTACCAAAATAAATGTTTTAAATTTATATTTTTAAACTTGTCAACATTTTGTAAATATATTATAGATTTTTTTAGTATATTTTTATTTTTTATATACAAAGGGTGTATTTTATATGTATGTAATGTATTTTTATGTATGTAATGTATTTTTATGTATGTAATGTATTTTTATGTATGTAATGTATTTTTATGTATGTAATGTATTTTTATGTATGTATTTTTTATGTATGTGTATTTTATTCAAATGTAATCTTTTAAAGCAATTTGTGCAATTGATTTTGTAAACAAAAATACTTTCAATAATAACTGCATTTTCAATGAAATTATTTTTTATCATCAAAGTTAATACAAATAATTTTAACCACTAATCTATTTTCCTCAGTGTAACCCGATAACTGATTCTTTCCCCAAGAAAGAAAAGTTTTTAAGTTCTTACTTGGTTTACTGACTTAATTGGCTTATTGACTTCAATTATTTTTGCTTCAGGAATTCTTCCAAAGTTGTTATACTTAAATTTAAAGTTATTTTTTTCTGTTTTAAATACTAATTAAAATTATAAAGCCCACTCACTAAACATCAGTGGTATTGTAAAGCAGTTCCGCTTCCTCCTCACATAAGTAATTTAACGTTTTTAGTTAATTTCTATCTAGCTAATTGAATTTCTACAGTAACTCAATGATTTAATTATTTCATTTGTTCATCTTACTAAGAAGATTTGTTTCAAATGTGTTAAACTTTTCAAACTACGCGAAGCGTAAAACAGTTATTGAAAAACTTTTTTATTTATAAATAAATCATCTAGCGTTAGTTTTATTGGTTGAATCTTGTTGGACTTTTAAGGGCCGGAGGCTGCATTATTTTGGTGGCCTTTTTTATGTGCCACAACGTAAAAATGACTAAAAAAAATTCTGAATGATCCTCTTGACTATTTCGCAGCTATTTTTTTTAATTTTATAAAAAGATTATAAAAAAGCAACACTTCAAAAATATTTGCTCTAACTGTATTTATTTTGCTTAAAGTTTTTTTGCATTTTTTCTTTTTTTAACAGTCTCTCATTGGTCCAGTTAATCTTATTGCGCTTTTTTGTTTGTTTTTGAAATGTTCTCGAAACAACTAAAATATCTGGCTGGTTTTTCGCAACTAAATATTATTTCTGTGGTCAATTATCAAGTGCGATTCCTGCACCCGCTTCCTGACCAAGCCTGCAAATAAAATGGCAAATTAAATCCAAAGAAATTAAATGCCTCAAATCACATTAAACCTAAATAATCATTAAAAACAACATATAAAAAAAGTAATGATAACAAATGACATTAAATCAAGCTTTTACCTAAATAAATTAAGAATAAATGCTAACAATGCTAAAAGCTGGATTATTTAAAAACATATTTACAACCAATTGAAGATAGTTCTGAAAAACATTTTTTTAAGACTATGATGGAAATCTTGTCTGAACCACAAGCTGTAGAAAAGTTTAATTGAGAATTAACTTAGGCATTGGAGGCCAGTGATTTGGATGTCTAACAAAGGATTTATCTGTTTAACTGGAATGGCAAGAAGTGTATGACCGTTATATTCTGAAGTCAAATTAGAGGAAAAATTCTTTACAAATTACTCTGCCTTATTTTGGGGAGAATTAATAAGATTAGACCCATGAAAAGGAGATTAAATGTTATGACTTATTTAGTTGATGACTGTTTATATTAGAGAAACAGCATAAAATTGGAAGGCTAAAGCTTATGGATGATAATGATAATTTTGATGATGATGATGATGATGATGATGATGATGATGATGATGATGATGATAATGATGATTATGCTGATCATGTTAATAACAATGTTTGCATATAAGTATACATTTATATATGCATTTATATATATATAAAATATAACATGATTTTCTAATAAAACTTTAGGATGAATAAATGTTTATATAGCCCTGTTCAGAAAACCTGCCCTGGCCCTACCTAGATTTTATCAATCCAGACACTGGTCAAATTTCAACTTCAGTCATTTACTTGCACAATATGCTAGTGATGTAAATTTTCCAGTAAAATTTGGTTCAAAGTATTGGTAAATTTTAAATCGGAGAGGGTAAATTTTCCCTAGTAAAAAAATTTTTTTCACGAAAAATAAAAATAAGTGAAAAAAAATTCCAAAATTTACCAGACAGTAAATTTTTAAAATTTTCCAGTAAATTTACTGGAAAATTTTATGGTAAATTTTACCTTTGCAACAATACAATATGCGCATATATTTGTTTTTTATACAACCTATAAAAATAATTACTTATGCAGAATTACAAATAGATATCTTATGCAGCTAAAATACACAAGATCTTGTGATATTTTTGAATGATATATATCAAAAATATTAGAAAAAGCTATAAACGCTAATTAATTAAATAATCAAATAAGTCTGATAAAGTTAACAAATATATATATATATATATATATATATATATATATATATATATATATATATATATATATATATATATATATATATATATATATATATATATATATATATATTTGCACTGAATTTTTCTGAATTTTTATAAAAATTATGTTAATACTATCACCAGTTTCTCTATATTAACATGTATATCAATTTAAATGAACAAATTAAATCTTGAAAGAACATGCTAATGTTTAAATTACTAAGAAGTATTTATTTAAATAAGGTAAAAAAAAAAACAACCTATATAAAAAACGAATTAAAAAAATTAATACTCTTATATAACAATCAAGTGAATAAAACAAATAAGCTTCTCAAATAAAACAAATAAGCTTCTCAAATATAACAAATAAGTTTTTTGAAAAACAAGACTTACTATAGGCAACACACATTGCCTTGCTAGTGTCATGGTAAAAGTGGACATATTAACTGGCTGAAAGTCCAAAAGTTTAGGATACATGTCAACAGGAGATAAAGTCTGAATAACATAATTTAAATATTATATATAATATTTTATAATATTTTATAATAATTATATAATTATATATAATTATTTAACTATATATATAATCATATAGTTATATAATTAGTAATAGTTAAATAATTTAAACAAAAAAAGAAAAAATTTAAATGCATTCATATATTCTAAACATTTCATACTTAAATTTATAAGTAGAAATCCCTGACTCAATAACATATTCCTAAAAAAGTAACCTATCTTTAAAGTATTAACTTACTCCTGACGTGATAACTACAGATTGGAAGCGCTCAAATACTGGTTTAATGGCAACTGAAGCATCCAAACAACTAAAACAAATAAATAGTTTTATAGACTTTAATAACTTTTATAATTATATCTGTTTATCATTATTTATCTTTTGCATCAATGGGAAGTGGTGAAGTGGTAAAGTGCTCACTCCATAAGTATGGAAATTAAACACTAACATTAGCCAATAGTACCAGACAATGTGTTTCTTAGGGCAGCATCCTTGTTAATCAAGGTTCGTGTTTTGGATCTAGGATTTAGAGAGAGAGAGAACTATTTGAAAAGAACTTTTTCTCTAATTCATGTTTTAAATCTAATGGCTTCTTAACATCGTAACATCCCAGAGAAACAGATTAATTCACTATTATACATTTTCTCTCTGGCTTCTACTGCTTGAGTTAATTTTCACTTAAACTTTTCTACTACTTATGACACTCCAAAACTCAAACACTCAACTAATTAACAAGCAGAATATTATTATTATGTTTGGGCTAGTTCTAAAAATAATACCCTTTCTCATTAAGACAATATCAAAAAATGTCTTGTAAATGCAGTTGGATCTGAGCCAACTACTAAGCTGGGCCCTCTGCCTCATTGTTGTATGGTTGCATTTCATTTCCTTTTCTACAAATACTTCCACAACAGCTGATTGTTATTAATATACAATCAAGTCATAAAAGCAGCAAATAATGCAAACCAGATTTTGGGAATGGTTAATAAAGCTTTTAGAAATTTGGATGTCTGCTCTATGAAAGTATGATATACATTGCTTGTAAGATCACATTTAGACTATGCTGTTTCAGTTTGGAATCCTAACCAACAACAAGATATAGATCATTTAGAAAAAAATTCAAAAAATAGTGACAATCTTTAAAAAAAATGAAATATGAAAACAGACTTGAGGTTTTAAACCTGAAATCATTAGAGAAAAGAAGAATTTGTGGTGACTTTATACGAATGTATAGAATAGTAAATGGTTACTATCAAATTTCATTACAAAAACCAATTAACTTTTTTTCCATCTTATAATAACCAACAGAGTATTAGACAGAAAAAAAAGCAGAAATCAAAACTACAGATTCTCAAGAGAATACACTCCAAAATGTAATGCAAGACATAACTTTTTCTTAAATCAAGTTTGTAACAATTAGAACAATTTAGATCATGAAACTGTTAATGTGAAGACGATAAACTCTTTTAAAAACAATACTGATAAAAGATAAAAGTAAACTTTATAAAGTAATCTCTTATGTGATTACTTTCCGTGTAAATTTTACACTACGGTTTTTAATTTAACAATAATAATAATAATTTAACAATATTTAATAAAAAATACACATAAAAAAAAAAAAAAAAAAAAAATTTAAAAGAAATTTAATTTTTTGTAAAAGCAAATTTTAATTACATTTCAATATTTAGACAAAGGTTTTTTAAATAGATTCAAAAAATTCAAAAAATAAAATCTATTTAGTAGTTATTTTAATTCTACATCACTGTTTATTTAAAAATTGGAATTGTATTATTTGAATTAGTATAGCATTACTTGTAATTCTATAATAGCATTAGTTAAAAGTTTTATTGGCAACACAATTTGTTAGTAAGTGTGAACATGACAACTGTACAACTTTTACTAATAAGTTGAGAGTTTTATTGGTAATATTATAGCAAATAAGTAAAATAATCTTTTTTATGACAATAGCTGTTAGCTACACATGTAAAAAAAAAAAAATAAAAAGAATGCAGAAATATTAAAAAAATAATAATAATACACAGCTTTACCAGAAGTGTATGATAGGATTTGGAATGGTTGGAGTCTGGTCATCAAATGGCTCAATAATTAATACAAAACCTATTAAAGAAACAAATGAAAAAGTAACAAGACACTAGATAAAGTTAATCATTATTAATAAAAAAATAATAACATTTTTAAATTTATAACTTATTGTGCATTTTTTTAAAATAAAAAGCTTTAAATTATTAAACTTCACTATCAATGTAATTTAGTGAAAAAGTAAAAAGAAAAAAAAAATCAGTAAAGGAAAATATGTATATCAGCTTGTTGGAGCTTTTTTGATAATTTTTTTTTCACAATTAAGTTTATATGGCTTATACATAGTATCTCCATGGCTTGGAGTACATCATCATTGACCTTACAATATTTTTCCCTTAAAAATGCCTGATCTCTTCAACATTTATTATTGGCATGGCAACATTAACAAAATCATCCATGGAGACTAAATAAAATCCTGTTGTTTCTGAATAAACTTAAATGTTCATCCACATCTAGTGATCATCTACATCAAATGATCATCCACATCTATAAAGACATTAGGAAACTTTTTTTCTGATAGCTTTAGCAAAACAGTTGCAATTAATTTAAATTTTCACCTGCACCCAAGCAACATCATGCATTTGCATTAGATCTAATATAAAGAATTGAAGTTGCTGTCTATTATATGTTTTCTATTTGTTTATAAATTGGTAAACTGCTGATCAATTTCACATAATACATTTGACATTTTTATAATATATAAGATTTATATAGTTAGATGAACAAAGCAGAATTTGTCAGCATAACGGTGCATTTGTTGCCATCTTACAAACTTTGAGTAAAAAAAAAACAGAAGCAAAATAAACATTCTATTACATTTTGATATCACAATGTTTTTACAACAATATGAGTTCATTTTTAAATGGCATTTTCATTGTAATTGAAAAATGATAACCAAAATAAAATGATGCCATAAATAAGTAAAGCTTTAAAAGTCAAACATATTATTATTATTAAACCCAATCTGATTGTGCTAACCTAATCATTTACAAAAACTATGTGGTAAGTACCTATATTTTTCAAACCAGATATTTTTATAACAGAAAAAACTATGCAGATTTATGAAGTTAATATTAATCTCTCCACCAAAAGTATAATGGAAAAACACAAAAGTTTTTTGTTGATATCTTAACAAATAATTTATTTTGGTAAGTCTAACTCTAAAGACTAGAAATCTCTTGAGAATTTTTTTTTCAATCTAAAATAATTTAATTTATTTGAAGAAACTTAAGGAATGAGGAAGTAATAATTGTTTGACTTAAAAAAGTTTGATGTACGAGGTTTGAATTAAACTAAGATATTTATTAGTAATTATTAAAATATATTTAATTAAATCAGTCTATTAATTTGTGTTTTTTAAAAAAGAATAAATTTAATTAGTTTCTTCAATTAAATTTAGTGTGTGTGTGTGTGTGTGTGTGTGTGTGTTTATATATATATATATATATATATATATATATATATATATATATATATATATATATATATATATATATATATATATATATATATATATATTTTTCAGCTTTTTCCAAAAAAAAACCATAAGGAAAAAAGTAAGCGATAACAGTATTTACATATAAAGAACATTTATTACATATAATTTTTTCAGATTTTTATTTGTAAATTTTTCTTTTTTGAAAATGTGTGTGGATTAAAGTCCATATTTCAATTCACAAAAAAATATTGGAATTAATTGATACTTTTAAGAAATATTTCAATAAAAATATGCTAAATAACAAACCTTTTGAATAAGTACTAACAAGAGTTGCAAAATTTGCTACAAGGGACAGACCGCTATAATCAGTGATATCAGGTAGCTCAAGTGTATTCAGTAATGAGCGTAATCTTTCAGAACAAAATCTAATTAACAAAAATTTCATTGCATTTATATTACAAACGTTAATTTTTTTATTACTTTATATTATATTGTAATTTTTTGATTTTTTTGAATGCAATAAATAGAAAGAAGATGCATACCTTAAAGGTTTGCGTTCAATACAAACTTGCTGATGAATGTGTTGTAAAAAAGAAGGAGGTGTTTCAGATACAACATGTTGAATACGAAGACGTGTCTGAAAATTAAATTTCATAAAAAGAAACATTTAAGCACTCAGTAAAAGTTAAAATATAATAAAAACAATATGTAAACAACAGGGTTGAACACAACATAACTAAACACAACAGGATAGACCATAAAAAGATGGAACACAGCAGGATGATATACAACAGAACTGGGCATAACAGGATGTACCTCAACACACATACTATAATCTAAAACCCAGGAGGAAAAAAAAAATTGAAACTTTGGGAATTCATCAAACAACATAAATGAAACAAAATAAATACTTTTAGGTATTCCACAAATCTCCTCATAAATGCTATAAAATGTTCAGCCTGACGTATGTTTCCAGGTACAGCTTCTAAAAATGAAATAAAAAGTATTTTATTTTAAGCCAATTTTTCAAATAATTATTTATGGATATAATTTTTAAATTTACTTATAAAATTGACTTTATACAACTATAAATAGTTTTTTTTTTAGATGTTTACATTTTTTTAAAAAAATTTAGCTTTTTTCTAAACATGCTTACAGCCTTTATACATCTCAAGAGTATTAAGCTACATAAAAATAAATTTTTGACGCATAAAAATAGATTTTTGATTTCATTGTAATATCTTTTTACCTTCCAGAACAGCATCTGGTAAAACTAGAAAAAAATGTTAAAAAAAATTATGTAAAATATTATTGTTTAATGTGTAAAATAGTAATAAAAAAAAATAAACATAAAAACAACACAGCAAAACATTAAAACTTTGCTTAAAAAAAGAAATAACAAAAATAAAATAAACATCAAAATTATGTGTAATATATAAGTTATATTGACTTAAATTTCTTACTATTAAAAGCAAAAAAAGGTTTACTGAATGTAGACATAAAAAAGCACTTTTTGATGCCTACACAGCTTTATCAATAAAAAAATATCAAATACAATTTACTGTTATCTCTCTAAATAACAATTTACTGTTATCTCTCTAAATAATAATTCTTTCTGACATTAAAATAAGTTAAGAATTTCAAAATAAGAAAAAATCAAAAACATAAAATGGAAAAAAATTTCCTATAATAAAAATTAGTAAAAAATAAAATTTAGTAAAAAAAACATTATAAACAAATTCAATCACCTATAATGTATATTAAAAATATAATGTATAATAAAAATTTTTATATCAAACCAGAAACTGATTAGAAACCACTATTTAAAAATGGTGAAAGTGAAAATATCTATTATGTTGTCTAATAACACTGAATTTATTCCTTTTAAAAATGCAAAGAGATTTTCAAAAGAGTTAATGCATTAGAGTAATCCAAAAGGAATATAGAGAAAATAGGTCTGTTATAAAGATGAGTAACTGTTGTATTAGAAAAAAAAAGCCAGCTGAGCAGGTAGCTGTTGAAAAACTGTTGGATTTTTTTTTTTTAACTATTATTTTTCTGAGTGATTAAAGTGACATCACTTATCTACCTATTAAATGGCTGATGTAACTCCTCTTTTTAAAAACGGAAGTCAACTACATCCTTGAAACTATAGGCCTGTCCTTTGGACTTCAGAACCTTGCAAGATACTTAAAGGTTATGAAACATAATAATAAAAAAATATCTTTTCTTTACTTAATCAACATGGATTTGTGAATAAAAAGTTAGGCATGCATAAACCTTAAAGCTTTAGATTTTATCTTGTTTTAAATTAGCCTCAATTATCCCATCAATATAACTTTTTTTGACTTTGTAAAGACATCTACAAAGTCAAAAAAAAATTACAAAGTCAAAAAAACACTTTGATACAGTACCTCATTGCAGTACGCTACAGTATGCTCATTCAAAAATTAAAAGGATATGGCATCACTGGTTAATTGCTAAAAATGCTTAAGACATTTTCTAAAGCTAAAACACAATAAGTTGCACAAAGTGTAACAGTTTTAGAATGGAGAGACACCATAATCAATGTGTTACAAAAATTGTTATATGAGCCTATTTTAATTGTAATATTCATTACAAACATGACAGAAAGTTTTGACTGCAACTCAAAATTTTGTGCACTTGCCTAAGGCTGAGAAAGTCACCACAGTTGAGGAAGCTGCTTTTTAGTGTTTACAAACCTCTCTCAACTCTTCAACTCCAAAACACAAACCTTTACAAACAAGGTCGCTGCGCAGATAGGTTAGATACAATACTACCAGGGAGTAGTAGTAGGGATAAAAAGCAGAACTTTTTGCTTATAAAGCAAGCACATCTACACCGCTATGACATTAGTGTGACTTGTGTAGTTATACTGATGTAGTTTTGGGTAATAGTTTTTTTTTTTGTTATCTTATATATCTGTTACTGATATCTGATGTAGTCTTATTCAATTGCAACATTTGCAGAATGCTTCGTCTTTTTGATTCTTGCAGATCCATTTTAATTTATTTTTTACGTTTTTTTTATTTCTGTGTTGATATCATTGTGTAATTTGTAAACAAATAGATCCACGGATATCTACAAGCATGGATAGAGCCTTAAATTTGAGTAGTGCTAGTTTGGTCTTATGTTAAAAGTGAATTGAAGTTCTAGAAAAGTTCTAAACAGAATTCTTCCTCCCTTGAGGAATTTGAAATATATGTTAAAATGTCTTGAGATCTGAGTACCAGAAAAAAATAGAGGATTTAATTCAATTAACTTTTAATAAAATTAAAAATGGTTTGGAAATGATTAAATTAATAAGTAAATTTGAACCAAAACTTTTATTTATCAGAGGAAAAAAACTGCAGACTTAGATATGATACTGCAAGACATCAATAGAATATTTAACAAAATTTTTTATTCAACAGAGTTGCTCCAGTTTAAAATATATTACCTAAGAAAAAAGTAACAGCAAAATCATTGAATATAATCAAAGTTAAGCTTGATTTATACTCTATGGTAGTTGTAGCTTGACAAGAGTTTAGCAATAGTGTCTCAGTGGGCCCAATCTGATTCGCTAATTTTTAAAATCACAGCTTATAACTACTAACTTAAAATTTTCATTTAATAATGTATTTTGTATCAGTAAAAAAAAGTACATGTAAACATTTGTATTATATAACATAAAAATATGTGCATTATTTGCAGTTTAGAAAAACATGCCTGGATTTCCAAGATATTGATCTGTTTCTCGAGCTTCTTGAGCCTCACGCAAACCTAAATAAAAACTAGAATTTTTAAAGTAAAACCAAAAAAATATCAAATTTTTTTTTTAAATATCTTAACACGACATTATTAAGAAAATTTACTTAGCATACAATTTTATTTGCACAAATTTTATCTTTATTAAAGAGGATGAGACTATGAAATGTGATTTTTATACTAAATTTGAGTTTTAAAAGAGTTAAACCATTTTAAGTGCATTAAACCTGAAAGTTAAACATTCTGTTGAAAAAATGTGTTGTAGTTATACTAAAAGCCTAAGTTTTTTTGTGATGTGTAAACAAAATAATTTTGAAATTATTGCTTCTGTTCATTTAAATTACTTTTTTATGAGGCTACAACACCAAACGTTCATGTTTGGTGTTGTAGCCTCATAAAAAAACTTAAAAAAATTATAGATTCTATAAAAATTTAAACTTCAATAACTATTGAACTACCTTTGCCTTGATTATTTAGAATTAAATTTCAATTGAAAAATAATGTATTATTAAAAGTACCTTGAACCAATCTCTCATATTCTCCATTTAATTTTTTTGCATCTGTCATTTTTATTCTAATACAAAAAAGAAAAAAATTAATTTAATTTTAGTCATTTGTATTAACCTCTTCAGATCCACGCGAGTTCTACAAAAATATTTCAATATTTTTTATTTGTTTTTAAATCATAGGGACATAAATAGACTACCAAAAAACATTTAGCCTATTCGTACAATATTTTCAACTTAATTAATGATGTCCACTTTAATGGACAGTTGGATGTAATAGCACGAATATTTAAATGTTTACATTCACAAATTTAAGAGTTAAAAAAATTAATTTAATTTTGTGTTAAAATTAAATTAATATAAAAAAAGTGAAATCAAAATCATAAAAATATTTAAATAACACCAAAATTAAAAAATATGTATATATAAACTAATAATTTTAACAAGAATAATGTCAACTAATAGCTTTTCATCAGACAATATTTGTATGATGAATGGCTAATAGTTAATTCATTAGTAATAAGTTATACATTTAAAGCAGGGTGTAGGCCAATATTTCAAGTTAGATTTCCCTGATATTTCCCTGATTCATTACCAGTTTTAATTTAAAGTTACCCGAACTTAACTTCAGAAATATTAGACTTTCTTTTAAAAAAAATGATCTTCAATTGCAAAAATGTAAACATTAATACAACCAATATTAAATGTATCAAGAGAAGCTCATAAAACTATCTGCTGAATGAAATATTATATTATGTGTACAATCTACTTAAGTTATGATGAAGAACCATTTTCCCTGATTTCTTTCTTAATTTCTAAAAAATAAGAGAATCATCAAGGAATTCGGGTTAAATTTTTAAAAATTTAACCCGAATTCCTTGATGATTCTCTGATTTTTTTTGCAGATATCTGAATTTCCCTACTTTGCCCTTTTTTCCTGTGCTTAATTAAAATTAATTAAAAAATAATATAAAGAACACAGTTCTATGTACATATAAAAACAAACAAAATGATAACAAATATTAGATTACTTAGATAAAAATGGTTTTGCAAAATGCAAAACCCTTTTTATCTAAGTAATCTAATATTTGTTAATGTTCTATAATAATTATTCAATTTTTAAGAGAGAAATTATATATTTCAGAAATAAGGTAAATTAAATTTAAACAAATATTTTATGAATAAAACATCAAACAAATAAATTAAACCTTTGGACATGCTCAGCTAACTTATCAATATTTGAATGACACTTATCAAGAGTTCTTCGATTAATATGTACAGTCATTGAATCAATACAAACATTATCTGCATAAAATTAAAACAAATAATTAAGCTTTTTAAAACATATCAAACATCAAACAAACACATGCAGTAATTAGAAATACATAAAAGTATAAATGATTTTTAAATTTATTTCTTAAACTATTTCTTCTCTTAACTGATTTAAAAATAAACTTAAAATTATTTGATAAACAAGAAATTTTTTCTGAAACTTTTAATTATGTTTCGTGCGATTTTTTGTATCATATTCATTTTTAATCATATTAATTTGAAATTAAAAAAATTTAAAAATAATAACTTGTACAATATATGCATTTATAAATGTGTGTATAAGGGTGTGTATTTATCTTATGTCTTTCATATTATTTGAAGATTAATACAATACAATTTATATATTATAACATTTTGTTTTGCATAATAAGTTTTAGTTAGTTTATAATAAACATACAAATGATATATTATTTAATGTTCACAATTCTAGCTGTGATTATTTCTCTATTGCTTTTCTTTTACAGTTTTTACAGTTTTCTTTTACAGTTTCAAATTCAAAATATTAACAAAAAATAAAAATAAAAATGAGAAAAACAATATTTTCATATTTGGGTAATTCCATATGAAATCATCAAAAAAAAATTATTTTCGACACCTTTATGTCTCAGAATTTGTTCATTTTTACCTGTAGGGTAGGGCTTTTTATTTATGTGGTTAAAGAAGTTTCTTTAATGTTATATGCTAATGAGACCATTTTTGCAACTCTGTCAATAGTGTTCTCAAACCTTTTTTTTGCTGCAGGCAATTTGCTGTGTTTTGAAAGACTTTTTAGTTTGACTGGTGAAGTTCCAAATAATTCTATAGTGGTATCTAACCTAATTTTTTTCTCACTTTTTGATTCCCATTCCTCCTGTCAATTTAAATCTTCATCAGTTTTTACTGCTTTTTTGTAACATTTACTGCAGAATTTCCAACCTGGGGTTATATAAACATTATTTTCTTGCATAAATTTTGCCAAGTCTAGAGAAATATTTATATTACTTAAGAAGCACATTTAGTTTGAAGTTTTTAAAATAACTAAATATATAATAATTCTTTTTATATATAATAAATTTATATATATTATATATAATTTTTATATATAATAAATTTATATATAATAAATAAATAATAAATTCTTTTTCTTTTAATTCCCATATCAATTCTGTTGTAACTAATGTTAAATTACCTTTTATAGCAATTTTTTTACTTTCCTTGTGTGTTCGAAAAGAATTGCAACTCTTAGTATTTTTCTAATTTTTTTCTCAATATATTTTCAATAGAATTGCTCTTAATAATGACATATAATTCTTATTGAACAATATTTTTCCTTTAAATTTGCTCTCCATAATATTTCTTCTTGTTTTTCACAAGTAAGATCTTTGAATTGAACAAAACCTTGTTTTCTAGAAAATCAAGTTTTGTGGCAATGAATGTCACACCCACGCTGAACCAGATTTTAGTTTGATGAAATGTCATAGGGTTGTGTCTTACCTTTTTGAAATTGTTAGAACCATACCATTAAGGGAAAGTTAGTAAAAAAAATCATAAAACTAATCTTTAAAAAATATTTGGGTTTATACTGGGGTCAAAACGGTTCCCGAACTTTGGCCCCCCTCTGGTTGATTATGAGACTAACCCGAGGGGGGGAAGCAACTGTTTTATATTTTGTTAAATAATATAACTAGTTATTAGTTGCCCCTTCTAGATGGTCTAAAAAACATCCCGAGGGGCACCAAAGTTCATCACCTATTTTGACCCGTGTGTATATAATCATTATTAAACTTTATAAATAAGTTTATAAAGAATGAATAATATATTTTACTTAAAACAAAATGTTAAAAGTCACTTTATCAATCTAGTCAAATATGTTTTCATTGAAAAAATAAAATAAAAAAGAATACAAATATTGTACAGTAGGTTTATACTGAACAATAGTTTTATACTGAACATTACAAAACAGACCGCAACTCATCATTACCACATATGTAATCAAACTTCTTAATTCTGCATATTTTCATTTTGTTTTAACTTTAAAAATTAAAGTATAATAAACAACGCTTGTAAGTAATGTTAAATGGTATTTAATAAGGAACCCATATACTATAATAGTCAGCATTTATATTTGTTTTATATTATGTTATATTTGTATAGTGTGTTTGAAACATTTTTTAAAGAATTATTATATGTTATATAAATCTTTATATTTTAGGTATAATAAAAAGTGTGTTTTCTCTGTGTTCTTAAATTGTTTTATTTTTCCAGATAGAATGAGTTTATTTAAACCAACCTGTACTCATGAGGAAAACAGGAGAAAAGTGTATTTATATTGTGCCAAAAAAACAAACAAACCTAACGATATCAATGTACCGTGGATTAAAAATTTAGTGAATTTTAAATACAACATTAAACATTCATTCTATCCTAAAGCTATTTGAGAATCTTGCAAAAGCAGTATAAGAAGTGGAAAAGAGCTTTACACGTAAAGTGGAATAAAATGAAAATACCAGTTCAAACTAGAAGTGTTTTTGTATGTAAATGCTATATATGTATAATTGGATCTACTCAAGGAAGACCTAAAAAATTCAAAAGGGGACGTATATGTAACGCACAACCTCCATTTAATAGTCTAACTTGTCAAACATGCTTTTCAATTATTAGCAAAGGAATTACCCACAAAAGTTCTTTAGCTGTACTTAAATGTAATATAATACAAAAGCTTGCAAATAATGTCAAGACAATTGAGCAAATAGCTAATTCTTTAATAAAAGATAAAATAGACAAAAAGGGTAAAGCGATACTTGCTACTGGTGGTAAAAAAGTAAGTTTTACAATTAAGAGAAACCATGATACTAGTAATATACAACAACTGTCTATAAACAGTATGATTGACATACAATCAACTTTAGAATTAAGTAACACAAAAATTTTAAAGCTAGCAAAAGAATAACGATTCAAAGCACAAAACAGAAAAATTGTACAATCAGGGTTAGCAGCAGAGCTCAGACGTATTGACCAGCAACTTGATGATTGCTTTGTTGAGGATTTTGAACTTTTTAATATTAAACCTGTAGAGGAAAAAAGTTTGTTTAAACTCCATTTATCAGAACAACAGATGTCAATGAGTTTCTGTGGCAAATAATAGATAAAAAAAGGAGTCTATCCTTAAAACCAGTATATACAAGTTTCCATTTACGGAGGTCGGGGATTTCTTAAGGTAATTTGATTTTATAATGTGCCACTTTTTTTTCTAATTAAAAATAATAAGTGTAATTTATTATAAAATATTCAGGTTTGCTTAAATATTGTATCAAATCCTAGTGAAACAATTAAAAATAAAAGGAGAAAATATGGAGAAATTAAATCACCAAATTTCAAGGAAGGATCTGTGAAAGCATCATTTATTATAGCACTGGTACCAGATGCACCAGAGACAAACCATAATGTTAAAATTCTGCTTAACAATCTCTGTTTGGATAAAATAAACTTTACTTATGTGGCAGATATCAAACTCTGTCAAGCCAAGTGTGGTATGTCTCCAAGTTCCATGGCAACTTATCCGTGTTATATTTGTACATGTAACAAAACAGAGGTTTTTAAAAATGATTGCACTGAGCTACGAACACATGGGTCAATAAAATTTAGCCGTAAATTGTATAAATTGAGCGGATCAAAGAAAATTAGAGCAAAAGAATATTTTAACTGTATTGATGAAGTTCTTTTAATTGGTGATGATAATGATCTAGTTGTTAATCATCTTTCTCCTCCAGAACTTAATTTGATGAAAGGGGCAACAAACCATATCTTTAAAACAATAAACAAATTAGCTGATCCAGTACTATTAAAAAAGATCGAAAATGACTTAAATATTTCTAAATCAATAAGAAATGGGTCATATAATGGTAATAGTTGTCAAAAAATATTAAAAAATTGGGTGAATTACTATAACTTGTTTCCAGTCCTATTAAAACCATTGGCTGAAGCGTTCAGGCTTCTGGATAACCATGTTCACTCTTGTTTTGGTGTAAATTTATAGCCAACATTTGAAAAGGACATCAGGTTATTTAAGAATCATTATTCAACCTTAGTGGAAGATTATGAAATGACAGTTACTGTGAAGTTACATATCATATTTCAACATGTAGGTCCTTTTTGTAAAGATAAGGACATTGAATTGGGTTTCTTTAGTGAACAAGCAGGGAAAGGTCTTCACTACTCATTTCTAAAGGAAGCATGGGAACGTTTCAAAGTGTCTGATAACCATCAAAAGTATGCAAATTATTTGAAAAAAGCAGTGGTTAGTTTCAATGGAAAACATTTAAATAATGTTTAATAAATATTTTCTAAAAATAATATATATTTTTTTTTTTTTCCCCTTTTAATTTTAAGAAGAAAAAAGTACCTTGCATTGGCACCCCTCAGACTGTTTTTAAGACCGATCTGAGGGGGACATATATCGACTAGTCATATTTTCTGACAAAATGTACAATAATTGCATGCACCCCTGTGGTGGGTCTTGATATAAGTTAAAGGGGCGCCTAAGTCCGGGACCCTATTTTACCCCTGTGTAAACCCAACTATTTTTTAAAGATTAGTTTTATGATTTTTTTCACTAACTTTCCCTGAATGGTATGGTTCTAACAATTTCAAAAAGGTATGACACAACCCTATGTCATTTCATCAAACTAAAATCTGATTCAGCGTGGGTGTGATGTAAAGACTTTTTCCAATATCACATTTCTCCATATTAAATATGATTATTTATAATATTACCTGCCAAAAAAAAATGTAAAAACAATAAAATTCACAATCATTCTTTAAGAAAATACAAACAAGTAAAGTACAACCTTTAAAAAGAACAAAACAAAACTTTTGCTTGTTTTTGATATAATAAGAGCATTCACCGATTTGGTGTAATAATGCAAATGAAATGTTTCTCAAACTTACACTAAAACAAAAATTATGTTTTTAAATTGAATTTTAATAATTATTTA